TTGTCAACTAACTCTCATTAGAGTATTAGTAGGCTTAGTTAAGGTTAGGGTTGGTAGAATAAGTTGATGTACTTGCAAAGTTGCTTATAGTGAGTAGAATATCTGTTGGGGAACCATCAAATAAGTGTTAGCAGATATTTAGCAGACAGTCTACTAATACTCTAATGACTGCTAGTTGACGTAGTCACAGAGTTACTTATCAACAATTGTCTACAGGCTACCATCAACCCTGAAACTGCAGCCTCCGGTTGTGCAGGAACATACTATTGGGGGGTCCACTGTGCAAATATTCCCGTCATTCAATTACACGATCGACACCAATGTAAATTCGCCTGATATACTACAACGCCGTTTGCTTCGACAAAACTACATGTTTGATGTAAACACGTTTTAAATAACGTGACCGAATGTTAAAAGGCTTGTTTTAGCAACTCGATGCACACTGACTCAACACTAACAGCCCAAAAGAACGAAAACGAGCTTAACAAGATAAAGCCCTTATGAAAATTGTGAAAACTATGAGGGAAAGCGGAAAAAAGACTTCAAATTCAAATTAATTCAACCAAGCTAAACCGCAACTAATGAATGAATGAAATGGGATCGCCCAAAAACAATGACACTATCCCTTCCTTTGATGAATTTACTTATTTTAAGAGGTCAAACTAGTAAATAAATAAGTAAAATCACTGAAATAAGATATGTATTTTTTATATTTTCGATTTGATGATCACACGTTGCGTACTGTGTTTAACAAGAAAAGCCTATTTTGAGCTGTAACGTTACGTGCATTGAGAATTAATCGGAAAATATGTTCACGCAGAAACACTGAAAATACACAACAATCTAAAATAACAATAAAAACGGTCATAACTGGGTACAAAAATTACAAAATCAAAATATTTTTACCTGTGTGTCAAATGGACAAGTCGTCGAGCTGTTGTCCATTTCTATAGCGGAAAAAAAAATCTGTTTTAGTTCACGACCACAGTATATAAGATACCACATTCGACTCACATAATGACAGATATAACATAAAACACGTTACAATAACATACAAATTACAATTAAATCGAGTTACAGTTTCCTGTTTTGATGCATACTGTACATTATGCTAGTTATGATACCATCTGACTAAACCAAACAATTATTCAAAAACATTAGAACAGCTGTTCAGTTCAATCAATCATTAGAACCTTGTCAGACAAATTAAAGTTTTAAAAAGGGATTTATGAGATCATATAATACACAGAGTCACGTCATGTATATCCACACCTAAACAAACTGCAAAAACACATATAACTCTTCTAAATACTTTTTATTATTATCTTCACATACGTGATGTAACTTCATTAAAAGGTTTATTATGTTTCCGGATCATTTTATTACAGAAACTATTATTTTTTTTAGCTTTTTGATAGGCAGTCCTCGACTTGTTAGCCTGCTAGCAACTACAGACCTGATCTATTATGTTTAATAACACTATATCATTCATAACACATCAATTATGATCAATATCCGCGACTACACAACTAAATCCTCAACTAGATCGAACTGTAATATCTTTAAACAAAACTTTATCCACTTTTTTCCTCCCCTGCAGGAACTTGCTAATTGGCTAGCCGTCACGCTAACATTGTTATGACTGATGTTTGTGTCTATAGTGTTTTATTCACGTTTACCTGCTGCTGAAACACAGATAGTGGACCCACGCAACGGTAAAAAGGCAGATAATTATCCTGGATCGAAAAACAGGCGATGACAGTGGCAGGAGAGATGGAAAACAGTGATGATATATGTCCGAATGTGATGAAGATGTGACCCAGACAGACAGATCTGCTCATCTGCCAAAATAAAAGTCCTCATTGCATTCATAAGGATTACACATCTATTGGTCAGTTTACAGGCCAGAAATATAATACACACGTAAAATGTGTATTATACACTTCGAATGGAATTAGATAAAAAAAAATCAAACCATGTGACATTTATTTTAAATAAATAAACCACAAATACAAAGAAACAAAACAAAGATAAGAACAAACATCACTTGATAGAGTGTATAAATCTTTTTATTATTAAATCTCTTAAATTACTAAAAGTAGAGGTAAAACAAAAATGGAAAGGAATGTTTGCAAGCAGGTGCACATACCACAATTACATGCAAATCAAATTACTTATGAAAGTAATAAATAATAATAAATAAGTGCACCCATTTGAGCAAATACAGAAAAAAATGTATCCCTAATACAATTCATTGAAAGATTGCAAAATAAATTTTACTAAACAGAGAAATATATGTCATAAATATCTGCAAAATTAATGCATTTATAAATTTTGTTTAAACGAAGGGTTGCAAAAATTAGCACACACTTGATTAAAGGCAAGGTAGGTGATTTGGTTCAAAAACATTTTTGTTATTCTGGTTGAAAGTCTCTTCACATCCCAATAGCAATCACTAAGTTAAGCGGTCTAAATGTATTAATATGTATTTATAGGTATATAAGGTCTGTAGAAGGCGTAGGACCATAAAATGTTCGTCCAATCATATCCCCTGGTCTGAGGACTATGATAGGCTGTCCTACCTGCCTGTCAACAGATGTATTTGTGCTCCATTACCCTATTGCAGACCAAGTGAGAATGGAAGGCATTATTATTATAATAGTATACATTCAACCCTCCACCAACTCCGTCTCTCATCGGTTAGCCTCTGCTCTGCCTGTGCACGTTCATGTGTTTTGGAGGAGGCGTGGCTCTGGAGAGTGATTTGCAGGGAGGGTGGAAACTTATGCTTTCAAAGCTAGCTTGCTATTGCTAGCCTCTCCGAAATCACCTACCCTACCTTTAAATTCAACAAATGTGTAACAATAATGTTTTGATATTTTAAACATGAAATGTTGAATACTGATATTTGAAATTATTAAAAAAATGAAAAGATACTTTAAATGTGAAATTAATACCGCCAGTAGATGGCAGCAAGTAACTGTTAAGTGAATCATTGAAAAACAGCAAACACAGCCAATATGGTGTCTAAAACGTAAGTCTCTTGATATTAACTTATTGTTTATTGAACTGTTGTATAAAATCAAGATCACATTTAACCATTCTGATTTTTTAAGAAAAAACGGCACTCTTCCTGTGATACTGATTAACTATATGAATTGATAAAAAATATTTTCTGCCCCTTATCTTGAATTATGTGATAATTCTTAATGCATATTAATAGACGAACAACCAACAAACAATGGAAATCTTATTTATTCAGATTTCAGATTATGTGTAAATATTAATTTCGAAAAATTGACATTTAAATTGACAATTAAGACTGGTTTTGTGGTCCAGAGTCACAAATAGTCATTTTGTTGAAAAATGCCTAACAATGCAGGAAATTAGGTGTGTAAATGTATGCACAACTCCTTAATACGTGAATTTCTATGTTACTTTTGCTATATGATATTTTCACACACGTACACAATCCCATCAACCTGCAGGGTGGGGCTTTTAATATTATGTCCTATATATACATATATATATTTTTTTTATTTATTTTTTTTTTTGCAGCGTCGAGCAATGTAACCAATACATTGACATATCTGTTGATTTCATGAACGTTGGCGCTTTGTTCAGTGCTGAGTTCCGCACCAGTTGCCAGTATTACCTTGTTACAATAAAGTGTAGACACTATGTAAATAAGAGGTTCATTGTGCAGTGTAGAGCTTTATTGATTTCACGGAACTTTGTGAGATCACGAAGAACTTGAGTGACAGTGTTTTAGTGATTATAAAGGGAGCACGCTTTGCGCACTTTCTTGGCTATAATCTCCTCAGAATTGCCACTTGCCATTGTTCCGCTTATACTAAATGAGGTAATAGTGTAAACAGTAATCAAGAAATTTGGAGAAAACGAACATTTAATTGTGTATTTTGATGATCAAAGATGAGTTTTAAGTATAAAATTAGTGACTTCATATTTCATAAATTTACATAGATCAACACTTTTGACATGGTTTGCATAAAATCGCGCGCGCGCGCGCACACACACACACACACACACACATATATACATACATATATATGCTGTGCATAACTGTCAGCGGTGAATACAACTGCTGATGCAGGAAGACTCATGCGCCTCATTCTGCCAACCAGAGAAAGTCTGCAGATATCAGATTACAGGAAGCTCCCTCCCTCCACCAAACAAACACTCTTGACTGACTCAGAGACAGACTCGGAGCTTCTCCTCTCACTGTAAGTACTAGACAATTTATATAATGTGTTTTTTATGTGTGTTCTGTGATGCATTTACTTTATCTGTGCGCAAAGAGCTCATCCTTACGCTAAACAGCTGTACAGCAAGAAACATGAGTCAGCTCACTGCAAAGGGCTAAGCTAGAGCTACAGGGCAAGTCAGTCCAGAATGAAATAAACCACATAACAGCATTTTTGTACTATATGACTTATAATTCATGTTAATACGTCTGGGGAACTATGTCAGCTTTAGCATTGCATTGATAATGGGCTTTAATTTATGCATACTTTCACAATGGTTTCCTGGTGATGAACATCCTGAAAGGAGTAAACGCTCGAGTTCTGCTGCAGGATCCAGGAAAAGGAATCGATCTCAGCAGTGTTGCCAATTTGGGGATTTTGTCGCCAAATTTAGCTACTTTCTCATTGTAGCTGCTACTTTTTTTTTTTTTTGCGACAAGGA